GAGAGAGAGAGAGAGAGAGAGAGAGAGAGAGAGAGAGAGAGAGAGAGAGAGAGAGAGAGAGGAGCGATACAAGATTGTTGTGCGGACCAAGGAGAAAGCAGCCATAGCCGCGGAGCTCGGACACAGGGTCACGAGAAAGAAGAAGGTGAAGCGAAGGAGAAGGGAGGAGAGACGAAGGAGAGAGAAGCCATAGCTGAGGAAGAAGAAAGAGGAGACGACGAAAAAAAAAAAAAAAGAAAGACATAGCCGCGGGTGTGGAGAGAAAGAAAGTGAGGAAGAAGAAAGGTTTGGGGAAAGAGAAGCGAGGGTTGGTGAGGAAGAAAGTGTCGGCAGCCATAGCCGAATCGACGGTTGACTAAGGTATTGACCGAAGGGTTGACCAGCGTTGACCAAGACTTTGACTGGAGAGTTGACCGGCAAGCTGTTTGGCGTTGACCAAGGCATTGACGAACGAGTTGACCAAGCGTTGACCAGTGTTGACCGGGGATGTTGACCACAAATTTGACCAAGCTGGAGTTGGTATATTATCGCCAAGCCTTCAGCCTATCCCCTCGCCCTATGGATGTGCACTCACCCCATGGTACTTGCTGAGTATGTCTGTCTCTTCTTTCTACATTGAGTCTCTTCTGTCTAGGTGATAGGAACTCTGTGTATGCGGTCATAGAGCTTTGTTGACCAAACCCACACGGGCTGAGTAGGGCTAAGCGCTGTGTTTGACGACTCGACTGACCCGGAGGACACGAACCCTCCCAAGGACCGGTACAGACCGGCGGGCTGCTCGGTGTGGCACAATAGGCCCAAAATCCGAGTTGTGGGCTGCACAACAAGCTGTCTAAGGCTTGAGAGGACTTGCTGATCGCGTCGTCCTGTTTGCGAAGTTAAATAATCCCTGAGGAGTTACGGGGGATCTCCTTAAATGCCTCCTGATCAGCAATAAGTCTTGTAGTGACAGCCTAGTTTAGGTCCAGGCTAGAGACCCTAGTTGACAGGATCTTGCTAAAGATTCCGTGGTACTTAGATTGAGTTGGTCTTAAGTTAAGTCAGTCAGGGGTGTGAGTCTAAGTGGTGAGGAGTGGAATCGATCTTGGTTGTGCACCTGTCACCATGGTTGACCTACGTAGAGGAAAGAGCACCACTCCTTACACCCAGGATCAAGAAGAGCAAGCCGCTGTCGGTGCGAATACCCTTACAAGGGTATCCGCCCTGTTTTTTTGCAAGCGACAGGAAATAAGTTTGGCTTAAAGTTTAAGTATACTGCGCGAGGCACGGCTCCGTCTGTGATTTACGTCGACCGGATGGTTGACTAGAGTAGAGAGTGTGTGGCCGCGTGGGTTTTTAAGGCGCGCGTGATCCTCTTAATTGTTGATGGCTGAAGAGTCGGCGCCGGCCAGATTTTTTCCCTCTGATTAAAACAGGGACTAAAAAGATTATGTCTCATTGATTAATGTGCTTGCCTGTGGCCTATGTGTACGTACGGAGAACGACATCGACAACAAGGAGGTTTTGAAGCACCTTCGGTAGGCCCGCGCGTCGTGCAATGTCCATTTATTTAGGCGTTTGTCAGAACCAAACCCAGACTTGGGCCTAGCATTAGCAGTTACGGCGTCTGACTTTCATCAAAGAGATTCAGGGATCGAGGATGAGCGACGACAACGCGGGAATATCAGAGTGGCGCGAAAGGACCGAGGGGTTGAGGGCCTGGCGAGGCTATTCCCCTTGGGTTTGCCGTTGGCAGCGTCAAGGCGGCGCCAGTGGTCTCTTTTTCTCCGTTCTAAAGTATTTTATTATTATGATAGTTTTATAATTTTCATACTCCGGCGTTCTCTTGACTTGGACGTGACGCCGAATTTCGAAGGTTGTCGCGACAATCAGTGGTCTTGAGTATGCGCCTCTTTTTTCGTGGGCCTATCCGGGTCCCCGCGTGTTTGAGATGTTGGCGAAATCCCCTTATCCCATCCTACCTTAGAAAATACGGGCCGGGAGTTTAATATGCCTGCGAGTGGTGGGTGGTTAGCCCACGAAAAGGAAGAAATCGAACGACGGGGGTCGCTGCGGGTGCATGATCGGCCAGCTGCGATCTACCGCGAGAAGTTGAGTATGGGTGTGTCGTCAGGTCCTGAAAGGCGGTGGGTCGAACCCCGACACGATGGCTTGAAAGCGGTCCACGGCACTGTGGAGGGACTGCAGCGGCGCCGTGGCAAGCTGCGGGTCGTGGGGAACCCTTTTCCACGACGGGTTTCAAAGTTCTCATTTGAATATTTACTACTACCGCCAAAATCCGCACTGGGGTCCGTTTCGCCTAGGCACATGCTGAAGGTGTAGTAGTAGCCCCAACACTCACCCACTTGCCAAGGCGTCAGAGTCATTGTGACAGTCGGGCATGGGCAGAGCAAGTCTCAGTGCCGTCCGGCTCGAAACTGGCAAAGTCGGCAGGTGAGTAGTACTCCTTAGTCAACTTCGATATTTGATGACCGCCGTCCCGCTGCCTGTACCACCAAACGTACCGTGTGGTATCTGGGTTAGCGCGCAGTCCTATAGGGAAAAACCGGCGTGAAGAAGCAGACAAATGGGAGGGGCGGAGGCACTGATGAGGGTGAATGAATCAAGGCAGGGCTCTGGGCAGGATGCATGCCGAGAGTGAGCGAGCATGGCGCAGCAAGAAGGGAGTGGCATGCACGATTGACAGTGCCAAGAGAACGACAGTGGGAGCGGGCGATGAGGCAGAGGAAGGAATCAAGGCAGGGCGGGGCGCAGAGGACACGAGGGATTAGAGAGGAGGAGTGTCGGTGGCTGCGGCCACGAATGTGGGATGAACCTGGTCGCAAGAATGCGCCAGGTGCATTGTAGAAGTGGGGGAGCAAAAAGGTGGCAGCGGGCGCAGGAGGTGACGAGCGGGCGTTAGGGGGCCGAGCCGTCGAGCGCTGCGCTACCCGTGGTGACAGGGCGCCGAGGCAACGGGCGACATGGGCAGCGGGCGCTGCGCAGGTGTAGTGCTGGCAGC